AGTGAATGCTTGAAAGTTCGAAAGTTTATTGTAACTTGAAAATCGAAACGTCGACTCCGCCATTCGACCTTTACAAGGGTTTAAATGTTGATGTCACGTCGACATTTCACTAGGCGCGGCACGTCGGCAACTGGGGGTCCGAACTGAAAAAAAAAATTAGGTTAATTTTTAAAAAGGCGACGCCTTAAATATATGAGGCGAGGCGCGCCTTATAGCGTGCCTCAGTAAACTTGAGGCGTAAGCCTCATAAACTAAACTTATTGCGTAGGCTTTGAGACTTAAATGGACGAAATTGCGCTGAGGCGCGCCTTTTATTGCGCAATTTTAAACGTTGGTTATAGTAACAAAACATTGCCTCGTTTCGGAATCAACTGCCTAAGGTGGGGCCAAATCGGAAACCTTCAAGTGATGCATCTTCCTCTCTTTTTTTTTTTTTTAATTTAGTCAACAGAGCCAGTAACTTACATTGGGCTTGAAGTAAACAACTACAACGTACAGAGACTGAGACAGATAGATATAGGAGAAAAGAAAGAACGCCTTTGTTTTTCTGAGCCTTTCTTATGACAAATATTTTCCTTAATGAGATTCTACCCGAAATCCAATCCGTAATTCATGTGTATATATTTTATATGGACGACCTATGTTCTTCTAAATCAAAAGTTGTAACGGGCTTACTGAAATTTGGAATTTAAATTTCAAAATACAATAGAATAAACTCTGAAGATAGATATAAGCCTGTATATTCTGAAACTTTTTTAATGAGTATTGTATACCAATTGAGTATACTCTCTCAAAAATTTGCTTTACAGTTGCGAGTTATGTGCGGTTTAAATGTTATGGTGAAGTACACTGCTTTAAACTTGTAGGCTTTGTGAACTACCATAATATATCTAAAACATGTCTTCTACCCAGGTAACATGCGGGGAATGTGTTGGAAGCACAATAAGGATATGTTTTTCAAGAAACCTAAGTGGACTAGTTATCTATGCTTTTTAAGCCTTTTGTTTCTGTTTTCTTGCAATTTTCAAGCAATATTTCTCTTCTTTTTTTAACTTTGATTATACATGTTAGTGATTGCCAAGTTCATTAATAATTTTGTTTGTGTTTGTTCAGCGGCTGCAATATCTCACACTAAGTCAATTTCCAAATCAGCTACAGTTTCAAATGACCACCTCCTCAGAAGCCCCGGCCCCAAGCTGTACTGACTACTTCTGGAACTGTCAATACACTAAGAGGTGATATGAACCCTGGAGAAATCAATCCCACCGTAAATATAAATAAAGAGGAAATGGAAATTGTTGAGAGAGAAATGCTGCCTAGAGTTTCCCGTGGATCCATGCAAGACATAAATGGATATGAGGGCGAGAAGCATGTTGGTAACTCTGCTCACACAAATTTGGAAGGGCATGACTTTGAAGGCAAAGTTGTCACTCATGTTTGTTAAAAGAGAAACTTTTAATCAATTTGAAATCGCAAAGGTTTTTACCATGAAGACTCAACAATTAAGGGGATCATGCCAATTCTTTAAATTTGTGTCCAATATTTTGTCAAGCATATCTGGTCTAATTAGATGGCTTATCTTTGAAATTAATTGATTGTGTGGATTTCTTTTGATGATTTAGCTTTGTTTGCAGCAGCTTTTTCAATTAGTTGCTTTCCAAACCACTACCACACATCTGTTTGGTTATTACCTTCTTATTGTTTTTCAAAAAAATTGGTGGTGAAAAGCACCTTTTTACAATCAAAACTATTAGAGTATAGTAGCTATGAAAAATGTTCCATGATTTTTTTAAAAGAAAATTATTTATAATGCCACAACAGCTTTCAAGCAAGTTGTGTTCCCCACAACAACTTTACAACTTATTTTATAAAAGCTACACCCATGCTATGGACCTTTAAATTAAAAAGCCCAGCACATTAGCTTCCTTGCGCCTATCGGGTTTCAACACATGCCAAGCTTTTTTGCTCTGTGTTTCAAGGCAGGTTGAATGGGGATCCCATGGGACAATAATGTACATCATGACGCTAACAAATCAACCCAACCAACATTCCAACTATGAGCTTTTAACTGCGACAACTTAAACATATAATTATTGTGGCTACGCGCACCATTCTTGCATGCTAATAGATCCTCCTCTAGGATTAAACAACCCTGAACTCGCACACATGTCAGGCTCCTGTTCTAAGTTTCAAGACTCATCAATAGGGGAGTCCATCAGGTTATGCAATGAGTTATGAGTACACAATAACATGTTTGCATGCTTGCGCAACTAACGCACAAGCGTCACACCCAACATGCCCTAAGTGGGTACTGTGGACATGCATGCGTAGAGGCCCAAGTGTCCAAGTGCTAAAATGTGAGCCCACTTGCCCGCCTATGCTTTCTTGCCAGCTTCACCTACCGATCGGTAGTAGAGGTTTTGGCCCCCAAGGGCATGTGAGCTTGGTTGCATTTGTACCTATCAACTAGATCATCGACATGAACATCCTGAAATGCAATATCAACGAGATGATGAGCATAATATTTTGCATGAAATTTAAATTCGTGTCAGGGCGTTGTACATGGTAGATTGGCTTTTACCATTGTTGCCCATTAAGATTTGGCCGCAAGTTATAGCAAATTCGTCCTCCCATTTGCAAAAGAGGAGCAAAAGAGTATCCCATGCATCAGCTTCATTGCGCCAACTGATCTTCGACACCCGTTAGCTTCCACGCATGTCAGGCTCCTTGGTTTGTGTTACTTGTGAACTCACTCAAGTATTTCCTATCACTCCAGTGGCAAATAAGATTAGAGAGAGTCGTCTTAGATAATTTGGTCTCTAATGACCCTATTTGGAAAGTAGATGTATTAAATCCAGCCTATCTTAAGAAAGTTAAACGTAGACCTAAAACAAATGGCCAGAAAATGACTTTTTTATTAGATTTAAATGAGATTTTGACTTTAAATAAGATACAATGGGCAAATAAGGACTCATGTAGACGACCCCACGTATTGGGATAAATGCTTGTTATTGTTGTCATCATCGAAATAAATAAAGAATGGTTTGAACCTCTTACTCTTAAGGGCATTTTACTAATAAGATATGTAGGTGTTAGAATAACATCTACCCAAAGATACTTCGTAACATTTATGGAGAACATTAGCGATCGAGCCACCTCTAAGAGATGCTCATATTTTCTTTCAACAACCCCATTTTATCAAAAGGAGCTTTGGTGGATAATCCTTCAATGTAGAGGATAATTTAATAAGATATATTTGAAATATTCTTTGACATTATCAATTTTTAGAACTTGAATTTTGAACTTAAATTGAATGTGGATCATGGTGTTGAAATTAATAAAAAATTGTATGCTTTTTTCATTTAAAAATAAGCAATTGAGAATAGTATGATTCTCAATAAAGGAAACAAATCATTTAGCTCCAAAAATATTTTTTTAATTTAGATGTTCCTCATACATTATGGTGGACTAGAGCAAAGTGTTGGAAGGTTTGTAGGTTTTTGAGTAGAAATTGCAAGTATGTTTAGCAAGATGACCAATATTACATTGAAAGTCGTTAAAATTTTAGTGCATGAATTAATTAAAGTAAAAATTTTTGGCCAACCATCACTATTATTATATAAAGTGTGATTGAAATTTGAAGTGGGGTTTGGTGAAACAATAACCAATCATTTTAGTTCATACCTCACTTGAGGGATTAGTCTTTAAAAGGTACATCATCAACACATCTCTAAAATGCCAATAATCCTCCCTGAGTTAGAGTCTTGAAAATGATAAAGATTAGATGAGAAACTGGCAATATAATTTTTTATCTAAAATGAGTTTGTTGATTGATAGTAAACTACAATCAACATTAGACATAAGAAGCACAAAATCAAATGTTAGATCTTTTGAGAGAAGAAAGAACTTATTCCAACCAATTTTATAATAAGCCATCTGTGATTCAAATATCATAATCATGACATGGGCTGTAATTCTTGAAAACTTTTTTGTCACTTGTCATATGATTTAACACTTCATAGTGTCTATTATCCAAGTAGTAATTTTCTTGTTTGCAATGAGAGCATATGATAATTTACCTTTTTGAGCAACCAAGCTTATCCGATAATATTTCAGTATAAGTTCTACTTGGAGAATAGTTAGTTGTCTTCAATTTACTATCCAAATGAATGAATACGAAAGAAGAGAGCTGTTGCAATTTTTCTTTGTTGTTAGTTCTCTTTGAAGTTTTCTAGTATAGTATTTTATCATGGATATCTCATGTTTTGGATCTAAATTTTCCATTTTGAAGTTGATTTACAGCATTTAAGTTGACAACTTCTTGACCAATGTCACAATTATCACCACCTTCTTTCTAAAAAGACAGACCCTTCACATATGTTTTCACCACTATTGTTGGAAAAAGGCTAGCTTTTAGTGTTGGAGAAAGACCAATCGAATTGGAGAAAAGACTCCATATTAAAAGACTCATTGGCCTCACAGGTAGTAGAACTATAATGTCTTTGATACTATCTTAAAAACTAGAATAAGAACGGAGTAAAAAATCTAATATTATACTAATAAATTTAATTCCCTTATTTTGTATAAAAAATAGAATGAGAAGTTGTACATGATAAGATAAAGAAACAACTATCAGGATAGAGAAATAAATCTAGAAACTAACATTTAATTCTGAAAGTAGAATTAAATAAACAGAAATAAGATATTGCTATCCACGAATCGCAGCTTGTTATAGATGAGAAGTGTTGTAAATGGAATGTTATAAGCGGATTTTTTCAATAGAATATTATTTTTAAGTGTTTTCATAGTCAATACAAAAAGATAAGAACTTAATGTTGATCTTAGACGTAAATCTACCAAAATTGGAAACTCTTAGGTATATTAATGATATCAGGCAATATTCCATTGTAATCTTTAATAGATTAAACTACCTTCGACATACAATTTTTTTCCTCAATTAAAATGTCTCCAAACACAAAAAAAAAAACTGGGAAACATACCAAGGTTAACATCCATCAGATAAGCATGCTCTCCACTATAACTCAATAGCACTTCATCTCCATTCGGACTGAATGCAACATGGGTTAAATGCAAGCTTGACCTCCTCTGTAGAGAGGTGAAAATAAGAAAAGCTGTCAATGACTTATATTGAGAGAACTACATTTCTGCACTTATTTGGAATTCAAATTAATCTTACCATTGCAGCAAAAAAATCACTCAACATACAATAATTCAAGCGTCAATATTAAACTTACGAACAAAATTATCAATTAACATAGATAATGTTGATAACTGCACGCACTGAAAGCTATTTACAAAAGAAAAAAATTTATCTTCAAATCAAAATATTGTATACTGAGCGAAGTAACATGGACTAGGTGATTATCACCACTTTAAGAATGTAAATCGAGAATCTGATATAGCATCTGCACAAAACTTAAACAATATGAGAATAAATAACTGAAGTTTTAACGAAATTCAACTTAGCTCCACTGATAATAAGGGATAAGTCAATTTCAAATCATGCCCTCTGCATTTCTATCAACTTGATTTTTTTCCATCACTTTCATCTTTTTTTTCTTTTGGTTGTTGATTTAATGGAATGGCGATTGTTCTTTAATTACTCATATGTATAACTTTCACTACTAGAGTCCTAAACAAAATCTTTTGTAGCAAAATTTAACCGCATTCCTCTTCATCAATCCTAATCTTTGATATCTTCTCCAAGCTTCTTGGGTTGAAGCAGATCTACACTCTCTTCAGTGGTAGCCACAGCTCTTTGAGACCAAAGTTTCACCCTAAATATTAGGGTTTTTAATTTGGCTCATAGATTGAAGATCACCCAAAAATCATAAAATATGCATATATGTATGTAACTGGATTTGAATATATATAAGTGGATGAATGCATGTTCGACTGATAAAGTGTCTTGGGGCATAAAAACAATAATAAAGATAAGATCAATCTTTTCATGAATCGAACCGAGATAGGATCTAGACAACTTTCAATATCTAATAGTTTATTTTATTAATTCACCTGCATATTACAAAGGTATACATTATTAAAAACAATCTTGAAAATTGTGATAAAAATTTGCTTTGAACTAAAAGTGCTAGAATTGTAAAAATACAGAATCGAGATTTGAATATTCTTGTAACCAAAATCAACTTGAGATTGAATATAGCCATCCACAAATAGGTTGACCAGCATACGGTTATGGCTCCCATGAGCTCTTGGACAGAATTCTTTCATGGACTAACCTTGCTCAACTTGCATCAATTTCTATATTCTTTTTTTCTGTCCACCTAGAGCTAGTAGGCTGTCCCAACTAAGGTTACTATCTTCTGGTTAGCCAGATAGATCTCTAGATTAACAAACAAGATCCAACAACAACATCTCAAAATCCTAAATATCTCCTGCAAAAGCATCATATCATCAATCCATGGGTAAAGAGGTAACAATACCATCATCCCAAGCATGAATAATTATGAAAGTCTTAGACCAGCCGGTCCAGGCGGGACCGGCTTGCGGACGAAGAAGAGTTTTTTTCCGCTGTAGCGGATGCCGCACGAGCCGCATGAGTTGACGGAGCCTTTTAGGAAGTATTTTTGAGGGTTTTGAGAGGGAAATTTGAAAGTAGGGACTGTTTAGAGATTTCCTTTTTGATTTGTATGTATTAAATAATTGGTTTCCCTAGGGTTTGGGCATCATGAATTTGGCTGAAATTTGAGATCTCTTATATTTAAGTTTTCATTGGGCTCTAGCGGTGTCTAGAGATTTGGGAGAGATCGATCCTCCTCTCAAATTGAGGATCAAGTGTATCTTGCTATTTTTCGTGTTCCTTTCATCAAAAAAATACAAATTACCTACTGTTTTTTTGTGGTTTTGTGTGGATTTTGTGAAGGATTCTTGCTGTTTTTCGAAGATTGATAGGAAATAATTGTGATCTACAAGTGTTTCATATCAAATTGGTATCAGAGCAAGTCGTGGGACCGGTGGAGGGCTGATTTCGGCAAATTTCAGCAGTGATTAATTGCCCGAAAGGAAGGGGAAGTGCTGTTTTTGAAGTTCCAAATTCAGAATTTGTGATTTTACAAACTCCGGATTGTGATGGCGGCCAAAAAGGTGGATGCTCTGGAGGAAAGGCTTGAAGGGGAGATGAATCAAATCAAAACGACGGTGGGGGAAAGGATTTCCTCCATGGAAGGACAAGTCGCCGATCTCCGAGACATGAAGAAGAAGATGTTAGAAAGTCAAAATCAAACGGCGGCTTTCGTGGCAAGAGGGGAAGGAAAAAAGTACGAATTCGGAAATTCGGAGGGAGGAAGATGAGGTGGAAATCATGGAAGGAGGAAGAAGAAGGCCCCATCTAGAGCCTGTCCAGAGGGAAGAAAGAGGGGGTGGATATGGGGAACGCCAGAAGGGATACTATGGTCGTCGAGGTGCTGATTTTGAAGACAGAAGGGGGGATTTCGAAGGGGGTTTGGGCTATGGTAGAGCAAGGGAAGACTGGGAAACATGGGGTGCACCAAGCACTTGGAAGAGGGGAAACTATGGAAGAATCCGGGGCAATGGGGGCGACCAGAAGGTGAGGAAGTTGAAGATGCCCATATGTGAAGGAGAAGATGCGTATGGGTGGATTTCCAAGGTGGAGAGCTACTTCGCCGTCAATGGGCTGACGGAGGAGGAGAAGCTGACCGCAGCCGGATTGTGCTTGGAAGGAAAAGCCCTATCGTGATATCAGTGGAGAGATCAGATGAGGCCTATCAGGAACTGGAAGGAATTCAAAAACTGCATAATAGAACGTTTCCAAACCGACCGGTCAGGAGATTTCTATGAGCAGTTCTTTGCTCTGGTGCATGAGGGATCAGTAGCAAACTAGCGTGAGTGGTTCGAGCACCTGGCTAGTAGGGTGGAGCGATTATCAGATATCGTATTGGAGGAGAACTTCATGAAGGGGTTGAAGGCAGATATCCGAGCGGCAGTGAAAGTTCTGATGCCTAGTGACTTGGAGGCAATGAAGTTGGCACAGCTGGTAGAAAATCAGAAGATTCTGGAGAAGGGAGCCAGGAGCAGCAGCTTAGGAGGCTCCTACAAGACTACGACCGCTCTTTTAGCTAGACCTGTCAATTTTGGGTTACGGGTCGGGTTCGGGTCGAACCCGAAACTGACCCGGCACTATTCGGGTTCGGGTTGACCCGACCCGGTTTTGCAAACGGGTCAATTTTCTGGACCCGAACCCGACCCGACCCGCGTAGCCGTGGACGCGACATTGCCTTTGGACGCCGACGCGGATCTGCGGACGCCGGCGACGCCGAACTGGCCTGGGCCGCCCGCCGCCTGGCCTCGCCGCCTCGGGACGCAACACGAAAACGGCGCGGAACTGGCCACTGGCCAGTCTGTCCTAGCCTGCCTCGGGACGGCGCGGAAATGGGCCAAATGGCCTGGCATCGGGAATTGGGACGCTGCGCGCCTGCGCGGAACTGGCTTGGCCAGTTGGCCTCGGGACCCGATGTGACGCGTCCGGGCAGCGGGGCAGCCGGGAAACGGGTCATTCCGGGCAGGGATTGTGTGCATTCCGGGTCATTTTGGGTTATTCCCGAGTTCCCGGGTCAACCCAAACCCAAAATTTTTAGGTCGGGTTCGGGTCGGATTTTCGGGTCGGGTCCAATATTGACAGGTCTACTTTTAGCACCCAAGGGGCCTGCATCAGGCAACATTAATGAGACCACCAGGGAGAAGCCAGTAGGAGGAGGGAGTGGGGACGACTTCAAGAAGCTCACTGCGATAGAATTACAGGAGAAGAGGACGAAGGGGATTTGTTTCAGATATGACGAGAGGTATACGTCGGGGCACAGGTGTAAGGATCGAACTCTTCAGGTTCTTACCATTTGTGATGAAGAAGGAATGGAGGGTGTCATCTTTCCACCTTGCGGACAAGGTGGATCTTTGGGAGGGGAGTATTGTTAGACCGGTCCACTGGACCGATCCAGCCGGTCCAGGCGAGACCGGCTTTTTGTGGGCGCGGGGGGGTTTTTTTTCTTGCGCGG